CAACTATTGGCATGTAAACCCTTTTTGAACTGTTATACGTATACCTTCTAAATAGGCAATCAAAAGGGAATATAATATAAAGTGCTGATATAAAAAAGAAGAATTTAAAATTAGTTTTATGTTTGGACCGAAAGATGAGTGATCACTGATCACAGATCAAGCTTATTTTTATTTTAATGAACTTAATTTACGAAATTGAGCCGCATTTAAGGCAATTAAAAAAAATCGAATAATAACACATTTCATAAATATGAAAGCTTAAGTTTTCTAATATACATAATTTAAGGGTTAAGGTTTACAACTTTCATGCACTAACCAGCCATGATTATACACTTTAGTCTATTTATCAATACTATACCTTGTTATTTTAATAAATAAAAGTAATTGTATGTATTTTTTATTGGTTTTAAAATTAATTGAAATTTCCTTTTTAATTTTAGTATTTTTTAATGATAACGATATACTTGCACTTTCGCTAATTACTTCTGTTTACAAAATATAAAGGTATTTCAATTAGAACATGGAGTAGTCAATTGACCTATGTATCTATGGATTAGTGTACTGTCTATTGACTACTACCTAGTGTATTGACTAGTCTATGAACTAGTGTATTGATTTGTCTATGGACTAGTCTAGTTTAATAACTAATCTATGGACTAGTCTAGTTTATTGATTAATCTATGAACTAAAATATTGACTAGTATTTGGTCTAGTCTATTGATTAGTATATTAAATAATCTGTTAACTAGTCTAATGAGTACTTTACAGAGTAGTCTATTAAATAGTCTATTGACAAGGGTATGAACTAGTATATGGGATAGATAATTGACTTTTCTGTGGACTTTTGACTAGTCAATAGACCATTCAATATAATAGTAGGTGAGTCAATAGACTAGTCAGTATGTATACAAGTCTATAGATAGGTCTATGATCTATTCTATGGACAAGTCTATTGGCTAGGCCATGGACTAGACTAGTTTAATGACTAATCTATGGACTAGTCTTGTTTATTGACTAGAATATAAGATTAGGTTGGTAGGATGATGTAGTACATCAAATCCGAAGAAATACACCTAGGCCACTATCGGGCCCGTTGTGCGTTCCTTTTCATGAAAAAAAATTTTTGTTCGCTAAGTATATTATTTTTCAATGTTCAGAAACTCAATTTCCTGGACGTAATTACTAAGAATTTTCCAATCAGTGTTAGTCTGGAATGTTATTTCCGGAATAACATCACTTCCAAGATACTTGGATCTAACTTCGACGAATGCTTGACAGTGGCAAAGAAAGTGCTCCAGAATTTCACTGTCCTCTCTACATGCTCTACATTCGTCTGAATCCGCACGGCCAATTTTGTATAAATGTGCTCGTAATACTGTGTGTCCACTCAGAATACGTACCATCATACTAACTTCAGACTTGCTCATTTTGAGGAGATTTCTCGTCTTGTTCTCATCAGGGTCACCCCATAGGATTTTTGTGGTTGTACCCACCGTTTCATTATTTCAAGAGGCCTTATGGGATTCTCTCACCCATATTTTTAATTCAGCTTTTGTTGCATTGAATGGTTTGGCGTTCGTCAGGTTAACTACCTCGAGTTCCCTTCCCTTTAAAGCTATTACATTCGCCCTTTCGTTGCCGACTAATCCAGAGTGTCCTGGTACCCATATGATGTAAACCTTACCTCTGGTTGTAAACCTTACCTCAGTTAAAGCTTTCTTACAATCCAATACGGTCTTAGATTTAATTCTATCACCTGATATCGCCTTCTGGCTGTCGGTGAATATAATAAGGGCCGTGGGCGCCATATTTGTTCTAATCCAATTTACACATTCTGTTATTGCTCCGACTTCTGCCTGGAAGCTTGTCTTATGATTAGGTAAACGGTGGTATATTTCTGTTTCTGGGTCTTCAATATAGAAACCCAGGCCCACTTTATCCCCCAATTTAGAGCGGTCCGTATAACAACGGCTTCCTACTGGTATTTGCTCTAGTTTTCCGGTTGACCAACACATTCTATCTGGGATCAGCGTTTCAAAGTTTTCGACATATTCTGTGTCTGGTATGCGATCAGGCACGTCCGATGATTGTGTATTACATTCCAATGTGTCCAGTATACATTGATGACGTGTCCTATAACCGCTTTCGGCCAGTTCGCCTAAAGTAAAGAGACGTTCGGCTGTAAGCGCCGCCTCATATGGACTAGACTAGTCTACTGGCTACTTCACAGTCTTGTCTATTGAAAATTCTATGGATTATGAACTAGAGTATTGACAAGTTGAATTTTCTTTGGACTAGTGTATTTTCTAGTCCATAGACTAGCCTATAAGGTAGTCAATGAACTAAACTAACTATAACCTATTCTGTTAACGAGGTGTAGGTAGCTTTTTGCAGCATTTTAAATACAGTAATAATGAATCTAAATTGGATTTCCCGAGTCTCTACTAAGCCTGTTTATTTTAAACTCCGTTTAACTAACAATCAATACTAAACCTTTTTAAGTTTCAAGCGAAATAAAACTCTTTTCACTGTCTTTTTTTTTGTGGTTTTAAAATTTATTAGATTTTTAATTTTTATGTATATTATAATTAATTTAATTTATTGCAATTTCATTTTGTTTACTTATAATTTTGAAATATATTTCTTTTAAGTATTTCTAATCTTTTGTTTTATGTTATTAAATGTCTTTTTGTTTGTTTATTAATTAATGTTTTATTAGCTTTACAATTCGTTTCATAATTTCTATATTATGTATTAATATAATATTTATTAATTTAAGTATGTAATTTTTTCTAAATTTTTGTTGTATTATTTAAATGTATGCCTTTAATGTATACATAACATTATTAAAATTGTTTTAAATAATTAATTGTAATTTAATTGTTCCACTTTAGTGCTACTAAAAAAACAAGCCTCTTTATCATATTCACCCAAACATAATTAATAATTAACTTCATTATCTTCATTGTCATTATAATTATAATCATAATAATAATCATCATCAATAATATAGTAGTAATAAGTAACAATATATATTTTTTTTTAATTATGTAAGTAATACAGGGGGACTACAAAATTAAAGAATGTTTATGTATGTTAATTAATAATTGTTTTTATTTTATTGTTGAGTGTGTAATTATTCTTTTTTTTTCAATAATTTATTTAACAATATAACAAATTAACGCTTTGTCAAAATGTGTCGAAAATTTGTTAAAAATTTAAAATATTAAACTATTTACGTGGTATGAGTATTTATTAGGAGTTTTTTTTTGTTTTTATTTTGTTTTATTATTGTATTTATTATTAAATTTAATTGATTTTCGTTTGTTTTGACATTGAACTAATTATTGTGTATTTTTGTTTGTGTATTGGTGTAGTTTTATTTAAAAGTTTGTGGTTTTTGAGTTTTACTGCTGCTGTTGTCAGTTTAGTGTATAATAAATTTTGAAAATTGTTTTTAAAAAAATATACAAATTTGTTATATATTTTTCTATATAATTACTTATGCTTGCACATTTTAACTGTTGTAGGGGGGAGGGGTTTTTGTTTTTTTAATTTATATAAAATGTTTATATTGTAATTATATTAAAAAAATAAATTTTTAGTTTAAATGAAGTTCGTTAGTTTTGTATTGCTTTAGGTTTGAGTTAGATAAACTTTTTTTTGTTTTCAAAACTAGAAAATAATAGAAATTATCACATGAAATTATTAGAAGTGAGTGTGAGATTAAACGGTTATAAGAGAGAGTTAACAAATCGAATTTTTGATCCACTGACCTCAAACGATCTTCTTATAAGAAGGAAGATTTTAAAGATTTTATAATTTCCATTCAATATGATTATTAATTTCTCTCTTTTATCATAATTTTATAATTTTTTAAAATAAACAATTTGTACACAAAGGGAAAAGGAAATATACACGCCTGGTACCAAATTGACGCCAAAAAGTTTATAATATTTCAATAACATCCGTTGTCAAATTATATATATACGTACGACAACACAACGTTGCGTTGTCAACATTGCAACAATTCGTTGTCGAAATCTAAATTTTATACACATCCATTGTCTAAATGTTAACAAACGCTCACTATTGGCAACGGATTGTTTGTCAATAGTGAGCTTACCACGTTTGTTAACATTTACACAACGGATGTGTATAAAATTTAGATTTCGACAACGAATTGTGGCAATGTTATCAACATTACATAGTGTTGTCGTACGTATGTATGTATATACTTTGGCAACGGATTGAAAAATTATAAACAGTTTGGCTTCAATTTGGTACGAGGCGTGTATATTTCTTTTTCTCTCTGTGTAGTTATAAATAAATAATCAGAGATATTTTCGAAAAAAATCATTCACACTAGTTCTTAACAAGTGATTTATTTTGAAACTTAAAGATTTTGTATCTTTATTTACTTTTTTTTATTAATTTTTAATAAATCATAATTTTTTTGCTGAAAATATTTAAAATTTTTTAGTTTTCTTTTATTATATTATTTCTACTTAATTCCTTTCATTAGCACATTTCCAGTTAAATTTATTTAGTTGTTTATTTCTTTGTCTATACCCATTTTCATTTCTTAATTTTAATAATTTTTTTTTTTTTTTAATTTAATTCGGTAGTTTTGAAGAAAAGTAACTAGTTGTAGATGTTTGTTTTTGGTGGTTTTAGTATGAGATATTTTTTGTTTTATTTCGGTTTTTTTTCATTAGTTCAAATTTAAAAATAATAAATAATTATATATATAATTTATTTCTTAAAAACTACTGAGGTAAAATGTAAGAAATACGTAATATGAAGTACTTTTTTGTTATTAAGTTTTTTAATTATTTAAATAATAACAGCTGGAAATTTAAGGTTTATGCTAAATTTTCTTAATAAGTCGCAAAACTCAGAAAGTTTTAAGCCATCATTTTTTACATGGGTTCAGTTGTAGATTTCAGCTGAGGTCTAAAATTTCCAAGATCTTAAAATAAATTATTTTTTTTAATTAAAGATGAGGAGGAACATTGCAAAATGTTAGGGAAAATTATAAAAAACCGTACGGAAATAGTTTTTAATAAAAGTATTTGGTATTTTTTGCATAATTTCATTAAGTATGAACTTTTAAGGTACATTCCCACCTATCAAATATTTGACGAAAAAGACGTAACTACTATTTTTGTAAATGTTTTTTTTTTATCTTATTTGACTTGAAAAAATTTGAAAAATTTGAAGTGAACATAATGTCGAAACAAATATTGTATTAAAATTAATCAAAAAACACAATTCTTTAGAGGTCACATCAATTTCGTTAAATATTTGATAGGTGTGAAAACAGGCCGACAAAATTTTAAAAAATCGAAACTCTGAAAGCAAGTTAGACTTTTTTAAAGGATTGTACCGTAATGAATCCGAATACAGTCCTTTAGAAAAATTTGTCGGTCTCTGTATACATTTCTTTATTATTGCAATGTCCTCAAATATTGAAATGATGTAATGAAATTAAATAAATATAAATTTAAATAAATATATTACACAGGTCAGCAAAAATTTTTATTGAACTGAAACATTAATAACATAATTAGTTATGTTATGTATATGCTACGAAGAATGGCTTCCGCTAAAGTATGATATGGATATGTTAAAATCCAGATCATAAAATATATATACAACAATTGTCTATTAACGTCTATCAATCAAAATTGTTAACCTTTTGAGATTAGTTTCCCAAAAAGAATTTTTCTATCATACCAACTAATAGATATACATCCAGGTCCCCTAACCAAGTCTTACATATAGTTCTCCGGAAGACATTAAAGTATTTTAGGAATTAGAGAAATATAAGATCATAAATAAAGTTTTAAACTTAATAGTTTACACGATTTGATTGTGGAATGATTGATAGCGAAATAGAATTAGTATTGATGATATTTTAATTAAGATAATAGAAATCTCCATAACCAATTATGGGTCCACCTCTCAAGACTTTGCAGATCAGATGTCTTGAATATACATATGTTTTCTTATACAGCTGGGTAATTATATTGATAATCACCATCAATAAATTGTTCGTAGAACTGCAAAACTTATACATATGTACATACATGTATATATATGTATATACATATATCTGTGCCCCGTTTCTGTAATTCTCGCATCGAGAAAATCTGTCGAAAAATTCATGATCATCTTGAGTAAAACAGGATGAATACAAGAAATTTAAAAATTTCTTATTAAATTTTAATGAGTACAGTTTAAAAATAATCAGAGTCATACTGTTAAGTTTTTTCTCGATTCGAGAAAATTACAGAAACTAGGTACTGTTCAGACATATCCGTAACGATTAACGATTTCAGTTAATCCGCATCAAGTGTCCTCCCGGAGTACAGTTTAAACAGTCCCAAATTTTCGATTCATGTATTTATGATTGATTCAACATAGCTGTATAAAACACTCCTGCTAATCTGTGTAATTTATTTGTTACTGACTCTTAAGTATTAATACTAAATGTTTCAATTATTGAGTAAGTTGTTTTTATTTTTTTTTTGTAAGTTTTAAACATTTTTCAAATTAAACTTTTTTATATTCGTTATGCTTTTCTTTTCTATATAAATTTACTAAACTTTTGTCGTTATTATCATTTATTAATTAATTTAATATTGTTCTAAGGTTTCTTTATTATCGTTAAATTGATAAACTATTTATTTTTTTTACTAAAATGTTTCATTATTATTGCAACTACTAGTACTAAGTTAATTATTTAATTATTCTTTTGTTTTTATGATTTTTTTTCATGTTGTAATTTAAATCTATAAGACTAGTATTGATTTTCATTTGCATTATATATTTTGTTAAATTTGTTCATTGTTTAATTTCATTTACTTTTTTCTTTAATATAATATTTTTTTGTTAAACTTTTTGTATGTTTTTTAAATTTAATTATTTATATAATTGTTAGCTTAATATTTAGTACCACAGTCGTAGAGAATTTTATTGGTTTCTTGAAGTACTTTTGTTAAAATTTAATCGTTTTTAATTTGAATGTGTTTTATTTTATTTTCTTTTGTATTTTTTTTTTAATTTAATAACTGAAAGTGTAGAGTTAAGGAAAACCTATTTGGAAAAAAATAGAGTTTACAATTTCATGTACTACATATGACAGCAATGTTGTAATCATAAAAAAAGGTTTTGCAAAAGAAATAGTTAAAAATTTAATAGTTTCAAGCCGTTATGGGTACTCTTTCTAATTCTATAAACTGACAACAAAATTCTGCTTGAGTAAATCTTACCGGTTACTGTTCAGCCTTAAAGGATGTAAAGCTTTTCTAAGCAGTTTGTTGTAAACACAATACAAATACGTATAACGCCCTTCATTGGTTTGAAGGATAGTAGGTTTAATTAACTAGAACATCTTTTAAGCATAAAGAAGAGTTATATTTAATGCTGTAAAATTTTTCAATTAATTACATTTCCAAATAGCATATTTATTTTATGACTACAACACACATTGACAGAAGAAAACACACATGTAACTGTAAAGTCTGTAATTTATTATTTAAAATGGTGCTTAATTAACTTAAATTATCATTTTATTATAATTATAAAGAGTTTGTTTTAAATCTTGTTTGCGTTTTTGTTTTTTATATTTAAAAAAAAGTTGTTAAAAAGTTGTTTTAATTTCAAAAGACAAAAATAGGGGGAAAAAATTATGTTGCTTAAGTTTTAAGAAGAAGGAAGTAAAATTTTCATGTTTTTATTAGCTTTAGTTAAAAACTTTAATTTCTCGTTTCTGGAATTTTTGCATTTTTTTTTAGATTTTTTTATGTTTTTTTTTTTTCAATATTACTTGAAATAGAATTTTAGTTAAATTTATAAATAAATATATTTTAATTTTAGCATCTAGAAATATTTTCAACTATTAAAACTTAATAGAAATAAAAAACGATTATAATAATTCAACAAAGTATTGAATTCAAATGGTCATAGTTCTATTTTCGTATTTAAGGTAGTTTCAAGTACTTTACTAGTGACGTTTACAAAGGCATCACAATTTGTTGAATCCATCCATTCGAAATCTTTAACAGTTGCCTGGAAAACAAATATTGATTGTTTGTTTGGTTTTTTAATATGGAAGTAAATATGTATACATAACTGTCATAAACTCTATTTCGAGAGCGAAACGAGTTTAACAATTTCAGACTAAAGACTGGACTATAGAATAGTCTATGGACTAGACTAAAGACTATACTAAAGGCCAGACTAAATACTAGACTAATAATTAGACTAATGACTAGACTAAAGACTAGACTAAAGACTAGACTAAAGACTAGACTAAAGACTAGACTGAAGACTAGACTATAGACTAGACTATAGACTAGACTATAGACTAGACTATAGACTAGACTATAGACTAGACTATAGACTAGACTATAGAATAGACTATAGACTAGACTATAGACTAGACTATAGACTAGACTAGACTATAGACTAGACTATAGACTAGACTATAGACTAGACTATAGACTAAACTATAGACTAGACTATTGACCAGACTATAGACTAGACTATAGACTAGACTATAGACTAGACTTTAGACTAGACTATAGACTAGACTATAGACTAGACTATAGACTAGACTAGACTATAGGCTAGACTATAGACTAGACTATAGGCTAGACTATAGACTAGACTATAGATTATAGACTAGACTATAGACAAGACTATAGACAAGACTATAGACTAGACTATAGACTAGACTATAGACTAGACTATAGACTAGACTATAGACTAGACTTTAGACTCGACTATAGACTAGACTTTAGACTAGACTATAGACTAGACTTTAGACTATAGACTAGACTATAGACAAGACTAGACTATAGACTGGGCTATAGACTAGACTACAGACTAGACTATAGACTAGACTAAACTATAGACTAGACTATAGACTAGACTATAGGCTAGACTATAGACTAGACTATAGACTACACTATGGTCTACACTATAGACTACACTATGGTCTACACTATAGACTACACTATAGACTAGACTACAGTCTAGACTACAGTCTAGAATACACTATAGACTAGACTTTAGACTAGACTACAGTCTAGACTATAGACTAGACTTTAGACTAGACTACAGTCTAGACTATAGACTAGACTTTAAACTAGACTACTACTGGTTATAGTATTTTTTGTGTTTTTAAAATTGTGACTTACCTTATGCATGGAATAGACAGCAACAACAACTAAAACATGCATTATATTATGTGAATTTAAATAGAAATCAACTAAACCGGGAAACCATTTTTCTGGAATACGCATTGCGCCAATAGCACCGCCGAATATGGAAACAACATCCTAAAAATAATGAAAAGTAAAAAGTGTTTGTATATTAATGAAAACTTTTGATATACATTTGCAGATTTAAAAAACAATTTTACACAAAAATTTTAAATTTTTTTTTACAAATTCTGAAAAAGTTTATTGTTATAAAAGCATTCTTCGCTAAGAAGCTTTTAAGTGCTTTGTGGTCACTTCATTATTTATGGAAAACAGTGGGCGTGAACTCTTACCTACGAATTGATAGAATTGCATAATTTAATATTAATACGAATACCTAGAACAGAAATAGGCCGACTATTAATAGAGAGTGTCACACTTAAAGAAATAATGAAATTCATACATATCTAGTTCGGTATAGTCGCTTCGTATTGCAGGGTAAATTAAGTGGCACTCTTACAGTATTAAAAACCCCTTAACATGCACAATAAATAAACGAATTGTCGAAATAAGGTATTTTTTATGTTCTTTCTCATTTTGTATGTGTTTTCCAATCGCAGATGGTAAAGTTGATACATTGACATATTCTAGAAAGTTTTAATTCCGAAAAAATATATATACAAATAGTCCTTTTAATAAACTGCAGTGGTACTGCAGTGGTCTGGCAGACTGGAAAGATTTGGTTATCCTTTAAACGGTAGATATCCTGCCGACTAAAATAACAAGACATTGAGAAAATGGGTGTTGAAGTACTACATATTTTTAGAGGAATCAAAGGCTTAAAGTATACATATTTATTTAAATGTCAATTGCCATCCCTGTTTCCCATCATTAACGGTTAATCCTATGTCTGCATGTGTATGTTTACAAAATTCCAAAGTGCTAAAACTTAAGAAACATGTTTAAACATGCTTCTTCTTTTTATCGACATTTACATTATTCAAAATCAAAAATATTCAAATTATATTTTGCCTCTTTTACAATGCTTTTGAGTAAGGTAGAAAATTAATTATTCTTTATGGTTTTTGCTGTAGTACAGTAATTGAGAATTTGGAATGTATAGCTTTTTGTTTTTGTCTTGTAGTGGTAAAAGATTTATTTACACATTTCATTTCAAGACTAAATATTTATTTAGGACAAAAATGACGAAAAATAAACAACATGGATAATTTACTACTTAAAAAAGGATTCGAAAAAATGGAGATTTACTCGCAAATGTCAACTGATAACTTTTGTAATTAATTTTAAAATATTTTAACGGTATCTACTCTTTGGCATGAATGTAAAAAAAATAAATAAAAAATTCTCATTTTATTTAACATAAACTAACTATATCTGGGGTCCTTAGAAAATTGTTTTTCAACAAATATACGTACAGCCAGACGGATATTCGATATTACTTGCAATGTAACACATAGTCTTATTTTAAGCTTTATTACGAAAAACCTGATGGCGTATGATTTATATTTTAACAAAAATATTTAAATAAATAAATCATACGCCTTGGTATTGATGTTTTTAAAACTTTTCTTTTATTGATTTTGAAAAGCAAACAAAAGATTTGCTTTTCAAACAAAATTTATTTATATTTCTATTATACACATATATTCCATCTAAGTTTATTGTCCAGTCTTCAGTAAAAATAACATTATTTTTGTTTTCGTTATATTTACTCTTTTTTTTATCTAAAATAGGTTTTCGTTGTTATTTCTTTATTTTCTTAGACCTTGTATAAATCGTTAAACATGAACTCATCATTTATAAGTAAATTTACTTAAATACTTTGTCAGTCTAATGATTTTTTTTATTATGGTTATGTTAAACATTGATCTGTCTTGTCTGTAGGCTGGCAATTTTGTCGCCAACTTTATTTGATTGATTTTGTTGGGGAGAGTTTTAACAACTATAATATAAATATTTACTACTTAACATTTATGATTTAATTTAAAAAATTTATGTAAAATTTTTAAGAAGTGTTTTTTTTCAACTATTTGTATTTTATGTTAAGGTTCAGCAATGCATGATTTATTGCCGATTTTTAGGTTGAAAATTCGTATGTACATATGTCTTTTATTTCAGTATTAAGTTTTTGTATTTAAAAAACAGATGAATTTCATTCATAGAAAAACCATTTTAGGTAATTTCAAAGCCATCGGTCCACACGTTGACAATTAGATTATTCAGAAAATTAATTCTAATTGGGAAGCAATTCCCTATTTGGAACAAACCTATGGTTTTGGATTTCATGACTAATTTGAAGACCTTTATAGTAATTATCAGGGAAACCTAAAACATGCTCTAAAAAAAGTGTTTTAAGTGCTTTAAATATGCCGTAAAAACTCAAAATATGCTCTTAAAATTTAAAATATATGCTTCAAAAATAAAATTTTTAATTATTTTTTAACATAGAAAAGCTCAAAAAGACTGAAATTGTAATGAAATAATAAATGTTTAATGTCATATTCTATATCCTACAATATTTTTTTATAAATGTTTCATCTTATAGTTTGAAGAACTAGTTTAATAGAATTCCGTTTTGCGTTGATACCCAATAAATAACATGAAACCATTTGGTCCCCAAAAAACATATTTCAAACGACAAAGTTTGACATATTTCTTCCAATTGTATTCATAGCTTTTAAACTGACATTTTAATCGGTGTTGTCATAAATTCCAATAATTAGTTTTTTGAACTATAAAAATGGATTGGTCTCATGAAATCAAAAGTAATCGGTTTTATGTCCGATTTAAAATGTAATGCTTTATTGAATAAAAAACTATAACATTGGTTTTCATGAGAGTAATGTATTTTTTGCAGTTTTCAAGTTCTAAAAACGAAATTTTTATTTCAAAATTGTAAAATAGGCTAAAAAATTAAAAAAAAAAAATAAAAAATAAAATTTTATTTTTTTTAAATAAAGTTTTGAAAAGAAAATTAAAAATGTACAAAAACGAAAAAAAAGCGAAAACATCAAAATATGCACTAAAAGAGTCAAATATGCTCTAAAAACTCGAAAATATGCCTTAAATATGCTAAAAAAAAAAGTCAAATCATGCAAAATTATGCTCTTATGGGTAAAATATGCAAAAATATGCTCTAACAAATCGATGCCAAAATTCTTAAATTGGTCTGAAACGTGTAAATATCTTATCCATGAGTCCATATGACGCGCCACAAAAATCATGCATTTGCATATTTTGGTTTCCCTGGTAATTATTTATGTATATTTTTTAACTTCATGCCAGGAATTCCAATAAAAATTGCAAATATGTTCTATATAAATGTAAAAAACATACGCTGATAAAGCTTAAAAATAACCAAAATAATCTGTAAATCTTTAATAACATCTAGCACTTTTAAATATAAACTGAAAATTCTGAGAATTACACAAAAACGGAAATCCACCTAAACCAATTCAGATTTCCAGCACGTACATATATTGTATGTATGAAAAGGAAATGCCTTACGGCCATTAAAATGTAAAAAAACGCATTTTTATAACATTTTAATCCACAGGTTGGTAGTAACAATGAAATGGGTAGAATTATGAAGCATCCTATCGAAACCATAAATAGGCACAAGGTTACGTTCAATAGACAGTAAATTTTTTTAATATATATTTTATATGCTGTGTATTATACATACAATACCTATACATTGTTATATATTATTTTATTTTTCTGTCGGAAAACCTTGTATTGTAACGGAAAATGAAAGAAAAATAAAACAAAAAAGTGAAAAGAATCCCCTCCCATCATACTGTAAATAATAAAAGAAAACAATTGCACACAAAATCTAGCCAAACATCAAGCCACTTAAAAGTATAACAATGAAAAAGAATGAATACAATTTATAATAAAAAAAAAACACAATAAAAAAACAGTCTGTATTAATCTTTTATTAAATTATAAAATCCACAAAATAAATACTATATAAATCTTAAGTACAGTTAAGTTTGGCCAGAGTATATTTAATAAATTTAAAAATAAATAAAAAAGAGAAAAATTAAAGTTGGCCAACCCCTAAAAACTTTTGTGAGTTCATTAAAGAAAATAGTGTTGTTTAGGATCGATTAAATAATAACCTCCCCCATTATAGTGCTATTGGATAAACAAATACAAAATATTAAAGTTTTAGTTTAATTAATTCTGTGTAAAATTTGTTCAACAGAATTGTTTACCCATTAAATCAACCACATATGTTTCTACATATAGTGCAGTTATCATAAATTGTATTTAATTTTAAAACAAAATGAAAAATAAGCAAAAAAATCGAAAAATAAAGTTTTTACTTGGCTTTAACTTCCTTGCCAAGTGTATGCATAAACTACAGTAATATGCATATACAAGTTTGTAACTTATTATTAACTGCCTTTTATGCCACATTACACTTTATTTAAAAAAATAAAACTGGGGTGTTAATAAATTCAGTGCAAATAAACTATTTTACATACCTGCAGGTAAACATGTTCCAATGCAACGCGATTGCCACCCACTAGACCGATGGTGCGGAAAAATGTTAAAATCGATCGCATGGTAAAGGGCAAGGCAAAACACAAACGACGCTGCCAAGGTGAACTAGCTGTTAAGGCCTAGAGAAATGAAATATAAAAAATTAAATAATACATATAAACAAAATGTGTATATACAGACGGAAATAAATATAAATAGATTTTAGTATGACAGTTGTTGTAAATAAATAAAATAAGTAAATTTGTTTACTTTTGTTCAACAAATGTTTTTAATAAATATGTATGTTTAAATTTGTGTATGAGACATGGATAAAAGAAACCACGTATTTGAACAAAGTGTAACTGAATTACAATTGAACTAGAACTGAACTAGAACTGAACTAGAACTGAACTAGAACTGAACTAGAATTGAACTAGAACTGAACTAGAACGACTAGAACTGAACTAGACTGAACTAGAACTGACTAGACTGAACTAGAACTGAACTAGAACTGAACTAGAACTGACTAGAACTGAACTAGACTGAACTAAGAACTGAACTAGAACTGAACTAGAACTGAACTATAACTGAACTAGAACTGAACTAGAACTGAACTAGAACTGAACTAGAACTGAACTAGAACTGACTAGAACTGAACTAGAACTGAACTAGAACTGAACTAGAACTGAACTAGAACTGAACTAGAACTGAACGAGAACTGAACTAGAACTGAACTAGAACTGAACTAGAACTGAACTAGAACTGAACTATAACTGAACTAGAACTGAACTAGAACTGACTAGAACGGAACTAGAACTGAACTAGAACTGAACTAGAACTGAACTAGAACTGAACTAGAACTGAACTAGAACTGAACTAGAAACTGAACTAGAACTGAACTAGAACTGAACTAGAACTGAACTAGAACTGAACTAGAACTGAACTAGAACTGAACTAGAACTGAACTAGAACTGAACTAGAACTGAACTAGAACTGAACTAGAACTGAACTAGAACTGAACTAGAACTGAACTAGAACTGAACTAGAACTGAACTAGAACTGAACTAGAACTGAACTAGAACTGAACTAGAACTGAACTAGAACTGAACTAGAACTGAACTAGAACTGAACTAGAACTGAACTAGAACTGAACTAAACTAGAACTGAACTAGAACTGAACTAGAACTGAACTAGAACTGAACTAGAACTGAACTAGAACTGAACTAGAACTGAACTAGAACTGAACTAGAACTGAACTAGAACTGAACTAGAACTGAACTAGAACTGAACTAGAACTGAACTAGAACTGAACTAGAACTGAACTAGAACTGAACTAGAACTGAACTAGAACTGAACTAGAACTGAACTAGAACTGAACTAGAACTGAACTAGAACTGAACTAGAACTGAACTAGAACTGAATAGAACTGAACTAGAACTGAACTAGAACGAACTAGAACTGAACTAGAACTAGAACTGAACTGAACTAGAACTGAACTATGAACTGGAACCAGATCTAACAGAATGACTAGAACTGTAACTAGAACTGTAGAACTGACTCTAGAACGAACTAGAACTGAACTAGAACTGAATAGAACTGAACTAGAACTGAACTAACTCTAGAATTTTTCAATTAAAATTTAGTGAACTGTATCTAAAAAGTAGCTATCTCAGTTATGTTATCAAATTAACTCTAAAATTTTCATTTAAAAATTTATAAAATTAATACATACGCCACGTATGTAACTAAAATACAAATATTGTAGAAACGGTGTGTAATTAATTTAAATATGTTATTTTAGTATTTAAGAAATTTAACTTAGCAACATCATACGTTACCTTGTATAAGCCCCATAACGATAAAAGGCAATATGAGATTATAATCAGCGATTTCCATTTAAACGAAAAAACAAAACGTGGTTGCCACAACCAAAGGAAGAGCACCTAAAAATATAAGAAAGAAAATATACAATATATAACTAAAACAACGTGAAATTATAAAATGAATATATAACAAAATTAGCTAATAATATTATAATTCTGTTAAGGAAACGTTTAGTTTTTCGATGTGTTGTACGTATTTAATCACAACGGGCAGAACCACCCTCGTAATAAATTTTTAGAAAAATATTAACAATAAAGAAAAAATATGTTTTAGAAAACACTACACACGTTTGAAACTTTGAAAATGCCAGTTTCAAAACCTTAACTTCCGCTCTAATTATTACATAAATACATTACACATACAAATAGAAAATATAAAACCCACATTATAATTTGTATATGTACCTACATAGATCCCTGCAGTTCGCAGAGGTTTTCTTGAATTAATATACCAAATAAAACAATAATATTAAACATAGTATTGTTTTAATCATATTTTTTAAGTTGTCACCAGCATTTCCGGTTTGATTTACAATGTGACTATTGTCGATTTCCTGTTTGTTATTATAAAAAAATTCATATCAACAAGACATTTGGGAAAGATGCTGTTTAAAAGGTAGACAAGGGTTTCTATTCTTGTCAAAATTGCGTGGTATACTTTTATATTTATGTATATGAGTATATAAGTAGTTGTTAACGAATTATTTATAAAAAAGTTTACGATGTCAAAGTTTATGTTTTATATTTTTATATTCCTTTTTTATTTATTTAGATATATTTTCATTTTACGTATTTTATAGTTTTTTTTTGTCTTTTATGACCTTTATGAAAATACACAAACAAAGTTACTTTCATTAATGCAAATATAATTTAAAATTTTTTATAAACGTTACAATACTGATGTAAAGTTGTTAAAAATTATGATAAATTTTAGGTAATTATAATAAATCATTTAAATTTATCTTGTTTTTTTAAGTAAGACTAAAAGCAATATGTGGACAGTGGTTATTTTGGACCTGAATGTCGGAATTTATTACTACTATTTGCTTACATACATATATATTAGATTAATGCTGAATTGTATTTTCATATATTGATATTAATATGAGTATTAGGGTTTTGTTTGGAATAGGGTCTTATATGGGGGCATGGTCCAATAATGTACCGAACCCTACATAAGCTAAGAAAATGATTAATTATTCTGAACAATAAATTTTTATGGAATAAAAATTGATTTTCTAAAAGAATAGTATTAATTATGATGGACAGATCCTTCTGAAATGTGGATTTTAGATTTAATTTGAATAATTCAATCGAATTATTAATTTTATTGCTTTCTAATAAAATTTTGTTTCTATAACAAACAAAATAAAAATTTTCCACTTCTTTGAGTTCAATTCTATGTGGTGGCTCTAAATTGGGGGACAAAGAGGGCCTGGGGTTCTATATTGAAGACCCAGAAACGGAAATATACCACCGTTTACCTAATCATACACAAGTTTCCAAGTCTGAGCAATAACGGAATGTGTAAATTAGATGGCACCCACAGACCTTAATACATTGACCGACAGCCAGAAGACAATTAGGGCGATATCAGTGATAAAATTAAATCTAAGATCGTATTGGATTGTAAGAAAGCTTTAACTGAGGTTTATATCATATGGGCACCTGGCCACTCGCGAGTAGTCGACAACGAATGAGCGAATGTAATAGATTTAAAGAGAAGGGAGATTAAGGCAGTTAACCTGACGAACGCAGAACCCTTCGACACAACAAATGCTGAACTAAAAATATGCGTGGGAGAATCCCATAAGGCCTCTTAGAATAATGAAACGGTGGGTAGAACCACAAAGATCCTTAGGGGTGACCATGATAAGAACAAGACGAGAAATCTCCTTAAAATGAGCAAGTCTGAAGTTAGTATGATGGTACGTATTCTGAGTGGACGCACAGGATTACGAGCACATCTATACAAAATTGGTCGTGCGGATTCAGACGAATGTAGAGCATGTGGAGAGGACAGTAAAACTCTGGAGCACTTTCTTTGCCACTGTCAAGCATTCGTCGAAGTTAGATCCAAATTTTAAAAGTTAGTTAGACACAGGGTTTAATGTTCTTTGAGATTCAATAAAAAGCATTCAGAAGTGAGAAGATTAAAGTGTTACCAGTTGAGTAGTATGAATTTTCGGTACTTCATAATAATATGGATTTATGTATAATTACTCAAAAAAATTTATATTTTCAAGTGGTAATTAAAGCAAATAAAAGCACATCTTTTAACGACATTTAAATTCAATATTTATCAGTTAGATAAAGTTTAAGTTCTTGTATTTGTATGTACGTCAAAAATTTGCTCTTTTGCGGTTTGCTACTCATATTACAAACCATGTTCAAAGGTATGATTACATATTTTACATCTATTTACACACATACACATTACGGATTTGCCCAGCATTTTTGGAAGTAGTCAATGTTCTTTTTAATAACTTAATGTATAGTGACCCTAAGTAATCTAGTGAATAGTCATTCTGAACTTTTTTTACACTTAAAAATAAGAAAAAGACCATTGTTTCCCTATTAAAATAACTAGTGGTACAGTTAGTTCTGTTACCAGTGAAGTTTGACTACTACCAGGCTAGTCCGCCAGAATTGCTGGGGGTCTTTATAGATTTTTTTTATTTACTTGTTTATGAACACAACAAAAATATTATATTAAGTTTGTCTTGTAGCTACGTCAATTTGTTTACAATATTTTGCACATGTACATATATATTGATTTTATTTAATCAAATTATTTATGTAAATCCTTAAACAAATATTGTTAAGAGATTTGCAAAAAATAAAAGAAATAATATAAATTTTTTATTAAAATTCTTTTGAAGAAATCTATACATGCAAGGTAAATTTGTTAATGAACAAATAGTACTTATTTAAAATTTATTTACCCCCTTATTTTTTTTAAAACACGTCAGCTTGCATTGAAAATATTTTCATAACAATATTTGAAAATATAAAAACAAATTATATGAAATGAAGGGAAGAAAGAGATTAAAAAAATAACCCCTTTAATGTTTTTCAAAAGTTCTGATTTTGATAATTAAACTTTTCCTTAGAAATTTTTAATATTAATAATAAAGTTAGTTAGAATGTTAATGAAATATTTGTAAGGGATTTTTTTATAGCCACTATTAAAAAAGATTTAAAAGATTAAGACGATCTAGGTATGACCGTCTGTTTTTTGGAAATATGATAGAGCCCGTGAGGGGCTAGTGGGCTGACAATTTTCACTATTCTGATTCGTTGTTAAGGTTTACTTAGTATTGAAAATGGTCAGTATAAACAAAAATACTCTTGTTTCAAACAATTTCAAACGCAATCATCATAAAATGTTGCCCAAGTTAGTTTCATGTATCATACAGTTTAGTTTGCTAAAAATCGGTCAACATTTGATCCAAGTACCCATATACGGCCCCTTCAGAAAATAACTTAAATGCTCATAAAAAATAAATGTTATAATGTTTCTCAAATTATTTGACTCAAATATCAGAAGTATCGGCCCATAAATGACCATATGGCAGAATTATAAGCCGATGTAAAGTAATCGGCGACGGCTTGTTGTAAAATATACCGGCGGATAAAATGTCGACTAAATCTAATCTGAGAATTAGTTTTTTCTGAAAATTTTCTATATATGCGTTTGATATATGGAAAAATGTCTTTATATAGGATTGTTAAATAGAATAGATTCTCCATATAAGTATTATCTAGAGAAGATGGTCGCTATTAAAGTTATTTATATAAAAAATTTGTCTCTAACAGTCTCTAATACATGAACACAATATGATGTGGCAACTCAGTTCAAATTATTTAAGAAAAACAAAAGTATTTGAATCGGCGGCGCGGTTTGCAAAATGTGGCCGGCGACAAGCTGCCGCCGATTTGAGCCGAGTCGGCATGTATCTCTGCATTATTTCTATATTATTTTTAGATTATTTAAAGTTAATTTAAATATATTAAAAGTTTTAATTCAAAACATTAAATTCATTGAATTAAATTATAAACTAATTAAGTTCTTTTTAAGATGTATATTTTGGTCAAAAACGTAAACCTATGAATTACATTAAAAAATGTTTAAATTAAATAAAAATTTTCAACCATTTTTTTCCGACTTTTGATCGAATGTCTAAAAGAGACTTAAAATCTCTTGTATATTTTCCCTCAAAGACAATATTTTAATTAAAAAGCTTAAAAAATCGCATGCAACTTCTATAAAATACGTTAAAATGGAAAGAGAAGCTTAATATGTGATATTTTCTAAAGGTACCTTAGACCTTACAAATATTTGAAAAAAACGACGAAACCACTGTTTTTTGTACATGTTTTTTTTTTTTTGATCTTACACAGAGAGAAAAATATACACTCCTGGTACCAAATTGACATCAAATTGTTCAATAACATCAGTTGTCAAGTATATACATACATACAACAATAACATATAATGTTGACCACGCTAAAGCTTACTGTTGACGACGGATTTTGAGCTTACCACGTTTGTTATGTGCATAAAATTTAGATTGCGACAACGAATTGTTGCAATGTTGACAACGTTTCGTGGTCAAGATGACATGTTGTTGTATGTATGTATATACTTGACAACGGATGTTATTGAAAAATTATGTCAATTTGGTACCAGGTGTGTATATTTTTTTCTCTCTGTGTACATGATTTTTGTAATTAGAAAAATGTCGAAACAAATAATGAAGGCGTTCTATAGTGATAACTTCAAAGACATCAAAATATCGATATTTTAGGGGTCACGATAATTTCGTCATATATTTGATAGGTGTGAACTTACCTTAAAATTGTATCATGTATTTAAATTGCTGCAACAATTACTAAAATCATTTTTATTATTTTCTAAAATTTAAACCAAAGAAAAATAATAAAAATCATCAAAAAAATTACCTACTAAAACATTAAATTTTTATTTAAGATTAAAATTTGAATATTTTAAATAATTTGCATTTTCAATGTGTAAAACAATAACATAAACACATTTTTGCCTTCATATGCATTTCTGAATTGCAATAGAAGAACTGACAAGTTCTGAAATTATTCAATTGATAACCTTTAAAATGACCCAATATTTTGAGAAGACAATGCAAAAAAAAAAAACGTATACTCTTAAAAAGATAAAAACATTCATTCTTAAAAAATATACCAAACACAAATTAGTAGGAATTTTAGAATAGCAGCATTGAAATCATTTAAACTTCTCGGGAATAAAATGAAAAAATTTTCAAATAAATCAACATTTTGTGTTTGTTCAATAATTTACGTTTTAATTACAATACAATCATCATTTGTGTTCAGCTATAATGTTACAAATTTCAATACGCCAGCAGCCCGTCATATCATGCGTTTGTCCAAATCTGCAGAAATGCGTACCTATATGAAACCTGAAGTGGATGCTTGCAGAGATTTTTACAAATACGCCTGCGGTAATTGGTCCAATATTAATCCTGCACTTAATGAACCGAAAACTGGTATATTTAATGTTTTATCCAAGGCCTTCGATCGTAAGGTATTGAAAATTTTACAAGCAACTGAAACTTTGGAAGTTACAAAAACTGATAGAAAAGTCAGGGATTTTTATGAATCCTGTTTGCAACGTTTCCAAAAGAAAGATAACTATAGCGAAAATCTCCTAAATATAATGGAAGAGTTTGGTGGTATGCCAGCTGTGAAAGGTGCGGCTTGGCAGGAGACTAAATTTGATTGGCTAGAGACTATAGCCCAGATATTACGAAAATATGGATACAATATAATATTGGGTGTGGATATAAATTCAGATTTAACCAATAATAAAATAAATCGTTTATATATTGGCCAATTGGATGATTTAATAACCAATAAATCTAACGAATATTATTTTGGTTTGTCCTTTTTATGGCAAATACAAATGCAGTCGGTGTTGGGTTTATCTCCTGCACACGCTTCAAACATTTCCCGAGAAATTACCGACTTTGCTCAAAAACTAGCTTCTGGTATGATAGATCCCATGGAAGGTTTGGGTATAGAAGATAAAACCCGTTTAAGATCGCTGAAGGAAATGACCGAGAATTATGGTCCTACTATTAATTTTACACAATTTGTTAAGAGCTGGCTGGGTTACGACTATCGCTTGCCAGTCTATGAATATGTTGAAAACTATATAAAAAATTTACATGATCTAGTACTGAATACTCCACGTGAAGTCTTGGCCAACTATATAATGTGGGAATTGATACAAGATTTTCGCTTGGAAGCTCAAAAAAACATGGAGAAACAAATAGAAAAATGCGTTGAAATTACTAAAAAACATTTTCTGAAATATTTTAATAATCTCATCTACAAACAACTGCTTATTCAACAACCAGATATTATTGAAGAAGTAAAATCTATGTGGCAGCAACTAAAGGTATCTTTTGAAAACATATTGCTGGCTTCCTCCTCCGGCTGGATGCTTGAGTCTACTAAAAACAAGGCTTTGGAAAAGTTATTGGCCATGACAATTGAAATAAATGGTTATGAAGATGTGAACTTTCAAACAGAATTCAGTTTGGAAATTACATCAGATGATTTTTTTGCAAATCTCAAAAATGTTTTACTGCTGAGGGGACACAATTTCAGGATGAAATTAGAAGAGCCACCTAGACTGGAAGAACATAAAAAGCTTAGTTTTACACCAGCTTATGCGGCGGAATATAATCGTGTTATACTACCAGTCGCTTTCCTACAACCCCGTTATCTATGGGATGATGTTTATCCTAAGGCTTTGAAATACGGTACTATGGGCTTCATTATGGCCCATGAAATGGCTCATGGCTTTGATGATACCATACGTAAATTTGATGCCAAGGGTAATCTTAATAATTGGTGGGATCTCAATGCCAGTGCTGTCTTTGACGCACGTAAAGAATGTCTACGTCAGCAATATGGCAAGCTAAGATTTGGTGGGGAACTGCTGGCCAAAACTCAGGCTCAGGGAGAAAATATTGCCGATAATGTTGGCATACGTATTGCTTATGCTGCCTACGAGATGTGGTTAAGCGAACATTATCATACTCCAGAACATTTACCGCATATGGACTCGATAAATGCTCGCCAATTATTTTTCATTAGTACCGCACAAATGTGGTGCACAGATATTAATCGTATTCTACATCATATACTTATCACTACCGATGTTCATCCACCCGAAGAAGTTCGTGTACGTGCTATGTTTTCCAATTTCGATGCATTCGCTGAGGCATTCGAATGTCAACGGGGCTCACAAATGCATCCGGTTAAGAAATGTATTATTTTTTGATCAAATAAATTATAGTTTATAAATTAGTGGAAGTTTTTCTTTCGAGTAGGGGGAGGGGTTCTAGGTTAAACTCAATTTACTTCAGTTTATCAAAAATATATAAATGGAATTGTTAAATATTGGGGAAAAAATCCCATTTCATATCTTAAAACCAAAAATAAATATAAATTGTTGAAAATCATTTGATTAGATTTGAATAATAGTCCAGTAATATATACAAGGTTTTTTCTGTGGTATTTTAGAAAGCTAAATGAAAATTGGCTTAGAGCTTCAACTTGAGGTCCTAAGGCACAAAAAGTCACTATATAAAATATTGATGATCCGCAAATCCTTATTATTGTGAACTTTGACCTTCAATATTTCTTTTAGTGCACACGGATCAATGTTGAGTTTAAGTACTTTATTTGAAATCTCGATCGAAACTTTATGCTAATTTTAGTTTTTAAAAAACCGCAAGATTAAAAATTTTTTTGTATAATTTTACTGGACTCTTTCAGCAAAAACTTGCTGATTAATTTTGTGATAAAACAACAAAATGTAAAAAACCAACTTATTTCAAATCAAAATTTTATCAAACAAACGCTCCTTAGTATTGAATAAATTCTCTATAAAAACGGTTGTGAAATACTTAAATTTTGTTTTTATAAAATGAAATTTAATTTAATAAATAATTCCTTATATAGTGTTATATTTCTAATATACTGTTCGTTAAAAGTAAAAAGTACGGAAGATATATTCGCTAGCCCCTATGCTAAACAAATTCTGAAATTATCAAAAGCCGCAGATATTAAAGCATATTTAAATGAAAATATTGATCCGTGTGAAGATTTTTATACCTATGTCTGTGGCAAGTGGCCTATAATTAATCCGACAAATGAAAATCGCAAAATAAGAACGGATAAATTTCAAGATATATCAAAGGGCATTGAAAAAAGACTGAATAGGTTGTTACTAGAGGAAAAAAGCGGAAAAGATGATGGTGAAGATAAAATCAAAGACTTCTATGCTTCGTGTCGAAATGTTTATTTCAATAAGGAAACATATAAGAAAACTTTGGCGAACATCTATAAAGATTTTGGTGAATTCTCGGCTTTCAAGACAGAGGAACAAGTAAATAATAACAATTCTAAATGGTGGGCCACGGTGGCTCGAATTCAATATAAGTACGCAAAGACTATAATATTATCGGTGTTCATTTTGGACGATATTAAAAACACGTCGAAAACAATACCCTATATAAGTCCACCGGAATTTAAATTGGCCAATGGAGGTGATAACATGATGCAAAATATGGAAACCACTTTAATACGCAAATATTTACAGTCGTATTTGCATATGGCTGCAGAAGATGCCGCTATCACTGCGCAAAATATAATTACATTCGAAAATAATTTAACATGGGGTGCCACAGATGTGCGTCTGGGTAAAAGTGTGGACGAACTGCTAACACTCTACGATACTATAGATTTGATAGAAAAATATAAGTATTTATTTGATGTAAAAGAATATTTAGAAATTGTATTAGGTACCAAAGATCTACCAGCACAGATATATGTATACGACGAATCTTATCTGGAGGGTTTACATGATATTTTCAACACCACTGACACTGAACTTGTAGAGGACTATATTCTTTGGTTATTTTTAGAGGAATTTATAGTAGATCTCAGACACAGCGATTTTCAGCTAGATTGCATAGATCAAACAAGAAAATATTTTGGTAAATTTGTGGATCATGTAATTTACAATCAATACCGCAGCAAAGAGTTTGAGAATGACATCTATGAGTTGTGGGATAATATTAAGAGCACACTGAGGCACAATTTTGAGTCTAAGAAATATGATTGGATATCACCTGAGACAAAACAAGAAGCCATCAAAAAATTAAATAACATGAACTTAAGCCTAAACTCGTACGACAATGACAATTTTATTGAGATGTTTAAAAACTTGCACATAGATCCCTCAAACTATGTGCTTAATGTCAAAAATATTTTGCAGCATGCCGAGTCTTTAAGAGAAAATAAACTGGAGAAGAAAACCCAAGAGGATACTGAATTATTAAGTTACACTCCTGTCTATAATGTTTTGGCAAATAAAATAAAAATTCCTATTTCTATGCTGCAGCCATATTTCATTTGGGATCCAGTCTATCCCAAAGCCATACAATACGGCACTTTAGGTTATCTCATCGCCCACGAAGTTATTCATGGCTTTGATGACGAGGGTCGTAATTATGATTCCCTGGGAAGAGTTTTTAACTGGTGGGATGAGACATCCGCCAAGGAGTTCGAATTCAAGCGTAAGTGCTTTGAGGAACAATATCACAACTACAAATATGACGGAAAACCTTTAGCTAAAAGTGTTTTGCAGTCGGAAAATATTGCCGATAATGGTGGTGTAAATATAGCTTACGGGGCCTATATGCGTTGGTTGAATAAGCAAAAACTTTCAAAATCCCATGTGGAAGCTAATGACACCCTACCTCGCTTGCCTTTTAATAATCGTCAATTGTTTTTTATTAGCTTTGCCCAACTCCTGTGTGAGGATACACTTTCAACGTTTCGTAGTACCTATGCTAACGATGATATTCATGCACCGCCAATGTATAGAGTTATTGGTTCATTGTCTAACTCTAAACAGTTTAATTGGCTATTTAAGTGCGACAATAGAACATGTAACATGAATCCAACGAAGAAATGTCAAATTTATTAATATTTTGTGAAATTTTAATAAATAATTTTAAAATAATCCCACCAAGAGTTAAGATTTTTTCTTTATTAGGAGTAATATGTTATCTAGTTATCTTGAGATATTTTGTAAAAAACAGTTTTTTATGGTTAATTTGAATATAATGGTCTGTAATTTATAGCGCATAACTTGTACGCCCATCAAAGCTTGAAAAATAACCACAAACAATTTAATTTGATATTTTGAATTAAATCCATTATTATGCATTATTTACTTATATAAAAAACCATTATTGTTATCGTATTATATTACTCATAATTACGAGTAATATTTGAAATATTTCTAAATAAATTTAGATATCGTGCGAGTACTTTGAGCACAAATTTTAACTCAAACTACTCACACGTTATCTAGAAACAAGACATAACTTTATTTTTTTGCCCTACACCACTATAGAGGGGAGGGTATTATGCGTTTCTACTGATGTCCCTTCGTCTGTCTGTCTGTGTGTCCACGTGAGCCTTGTAATTTGATGAAATTTGGCACATACTTTTCTCTTGGTCCAAGAACGAAGCCTATTAAAAATAGTTGAAATCGGTCCATTATTTCACCTAGCACCCATCCAACCGTAAAAAACGCATATCAATTGACTTCACCAGTTTATAGTCCCGGCGGAAAAGAAATACTGGTAACACCTATCCTATTCCTGTTACCTATCCATTCTTACTTGTTTTAATATAATCTAAATCGTAAATTTAAAAGTTGTTTCATATATTTTAATAAACATATGTATTTCCGGAGTGCTTTACGTGAGCGCTTGCCTTGTCATCTTAAGCTTACGGTAGTCTTCTTCAATCACAGCTTCACCAAGGGCCGACTTACCACTGAAACGTACCCTGATAATTAAATTTTTTCTTCAGACAAGTTCATAGAGAAAAACATACGACATATTCATTTGGGTAGGTTGAGGATGCCACACCCCTTATTTACATAAGTATTTTACATTTCATTCCTTTGATATCAATTCATTCCCAACATTTAGGCCCTCAATTACTCCTATTGACAACAGCACCGAACTTATTTCGAAATATTAATGTCTTTGTAAAAAGAAAAAGTACCGTTTCGATTATGTTTCCGCTGAAAATAGGTATTCCAACGCTTTTCAAATATAAAAAAAATTGTATTTGTAATTTTTATAGTAAACATATTAAAAAACTAACTGTTATACTTTGATTTCTCTGCAAACTCTCGTCTATATTTTATTTCATCTATGCCTCAATTTTATTAAAACGATTAATCATGATCTTGCCAGATCCACTATCACTAATTTCAATTCTATTTCCTAAATTTCAAAATAAACAAATGAATAAATGTAAATCGTCATTGGCATTGACAATGACGTATTTATTCAATTCGAAAGATTAAATTTCGAAAATACAGATTAAAAATTATATTTTGTCTTTGTATATGTGTTCTAAAATAATAAGACTATTCCCAAGTTCCTAAAAACATAGATAACCTTTCAAATGAACTGATATTTTGTGAAAAAAAAAATACTCTTCGAAAGATGAAAACTTTCTTTTTAGTTTAGTTTAGCTTATAAAATAGACGGGTTTGGTACATTGCAAAGAAGCGGTTTTAAAATGAAAGGCTTTTCGAATAAATTTTTAATTTATATTTGTTTAAAACTCGTTATTTTAATTGAAATACACGCCACGACAATTAATTATAATGCTACGAAATTTAATACGCCAGCAGGCCGCCAAATAATGCGTTTGTCGAAATCGGCCGAAATGCGCAACTATATGAAACCAGAAGTGGATGCTTGCAAAGATTTTTATCAATATGCTTGCGGTAATTGGGCGAAAATTAATCCCGCCATTAATGAACCCAAAACGGGTATATTCAGTGTTTTGTCCAAAGCCTATGATCGTAAATTGTTTAATATTTTGGATGGAGCTAAAACTTCGGAAGACATAGAAACTGACACCAAAGTAAAGTACTTTTACGAGTCTTGTTTGCAAAGCAGCCAAAAGCAGCATAACTATCGCGAGAATCTCTTGAGCATAATGGAAGAGTTTGGGGGTATGCCGGCTCTGAAGGGTTCGGCTTGGAAGGAGAGTGAATTTGATTGGTTGGAAACTATAGCCCAGATATTGCGTAAATATGGACGCAAAATAATATTGGGTGTTGATATTAATGCCGATTTAACTAATAACGAAATAAATCGTTTGTACATAGGACAATTAGATGATCTTATAACGGGCAAATCAAAGGAATATTACAATCGTTTATCCCTTATGTGGCAAATGGAAATGCAGTCAGTATTGGGTTTAACACCCACACAAGCATTAATAGTTTCCCAAGAGGTAACTGATTTTGCTCATAAATTAGCTTCTGGAATGGTAGATCCGCTAGAAGGTCTAGGTATGGAAGATAAAACCCGTTTAAGATTGCTGGAGGAAATGACCGAGAACTATGGACCCGCCATTAATTTTACGCATTATGTTAAAACTTGGTTGGGCTACGACTACCGTTTACCAGTCTACGAATATGTGGAAAACTATATAAGAAATTTGCGCATTTTGATCTTGGAAACACCAACTAATGTGGTGGCTAATTATATAATGTGGGAGTTTATACAAGATTTTCGTCTAGAGGCACAAAGAAACTTGGAGAAACAAAAAGAAAAATGTGTAGAAATCACCAAGAAACATTTCATTAAGTATTTGGATCATCTTATCTATAAACAACTTCTTAGCCAACAGCCAGAAGTTATTGAAGAGGTAAAATCTATGTGGCAGCAATTGAAATTAGCTTTTGAGGACATACTACAGTCTTCCTCCTCCGATTGGATGCTGGAAAAAACTAAAGACAAGGCTTTGGAAAAGTTATCAGCCATGCAATTTGAAATAAATGGTTATGTGGGTGTGGATTTCCAAAAGGAATTCAGTTCTTTGACTATTTCTTCTGGAGACTTTTTTGAGAATTTACAAAATGTTTTACTGCTGAAAGGACAAAATTTCCGAATGAAATTGCAGGAGCCACCCAAATTGGAAGAGCATGAAATGTTAAGTTTTACACCAGCCTATGCGGCGGAATATAATCGTGTTATACTGCCAGTGGCCTTTCTGCAACCACGCTATATGTGGGATGATGTCTATCCTAAGGCTTTGAAATATGGCACTGTGGGCTACATTATAGCCCATGAAATGGCCCATGGTTTCGATGACACCATACGTAAATACGATGCCAAGGGTAATTTAAACAATTGGTGGGATCGCAATGCCAGTGCGGTCTTTGCCACACGCAAAGAATGTCTACGTCAACAATATGGCCAGCATAAATTTGGTGGCAAACTACTGCCAAAATCCCAGGCTCAGGGAGAAAATATTGCCGATAATGTTGGCATACGTATTGCTTATGCTGCCTACGAGATGTGGTTAAGCAAACACCATCACACACCGGAGCATCTGCCTCACATGGACAAAATAAATGCTCGCCAATTGTTTTTCATTAGTTCGGCTCAAATATGGTGCACAGATATCAATAGAATTTGGCATCATATTGTTGCCACCACCGATGTTCATCCACCCGAAGAAGTTCGTGTACGTGCCATGTTTGCCAATTTCGATGCTTTCGCCGAAGCATTTGAATGTCAGCTAGGCTCACAAATGCATCCGCATAGAAAATGTATTATTTATTGATCAAATAATAAAGAAAAATATACTTTTATATTTGGTTATTGCGGGCAGGACAGAAGGAAGGAAGGAAGGAAGTCGATTTATTTTAGTTCAACTGGATGGAGACGAGATTGTGTTGCAATTACAAGGTTGAGTGTTTTACTTTGTTATGTCGTTGTATAGTTCCTATTGTTGTTATTTAAGTGTAAAATTTTATAAAAAATCATAGAAATATTATACTTATTGTAGTTATTGTTGGACAAAATTAAGGAAAAAGATAATTAAAAGTATTTTTATTAAGTTACATAATTAAAATTGTTTGATTCAAAATCCTTGAGGATAATACATTAAGCTTATAGTTAAGGTGTTCATCAATCTTCAAACAGTTGGTCAGTTTATAAAGTTTTTTAACAAAAAGAAATGTTTTGAAAAGCCGTAGCTTTTGTATCTTTGTTAGAATTTTATCATATTTGTTACTACTTAAGCTGTTCCAATACAAATCTCTGTGGTTTGCTATAACTATCCCGTGAATTGATAGTTTACCACACTTTAATTCGATTAAAAATATTCTTGAGGGTAAAATAGCGCATTCATACAAAATCGAACTATTCTGTGGCAAGTGTCAACTCGAAATAGTGGAAATAATACTAGTACCACACTGCCACTTCATACTGTATGGGTATGACTGAAATCATTTTCACATACAAAATCATGAATATTCTTCGATATGATTAATTTACGTCACTTAAAATATTTATTAGCCATTTTATATGCAAGTGAACAAGATAATTTGACATTAAACAACAACGTAAATATTTGACAGTTTCAGATTAACAACATTATAAATAATGTTAATTTGTCTTATTCAAGTAGTAAGTGGTCCAATAAAAAATGAAAGGAAGTTTTTTTTTTTATAAACAAATTATCAGCATGTAAGTGTAAATAACGCATTATAATCTGACAAAAAAATGACAGAAAATGTCAAAAGAAAAAAAGAAAACCACTTCAAGAATAATGGATGAAATTTACATAAATATGTAACTTAAATATTATTTACGTATGACGTGCATTATTTACATAAAATAATGCCAAAAAAAATATATACATACTATGTATGATGTCATAATAATTGAAAGATAGGTTAAATTGCTCTTTGGAAAAAATCTTTTGTTTTTGCCCTAGGGCATGTGATAACTTTTATTTCCCATTATAAATCAATTTTTGAGTGAAAACATAAAAGTCCATTTTCTGGCTAAACTAGAGGCCCCATGGCAAAAAGGCTTAAAATCTGTGATCACTTTTATTTCCTATTAAAAATCGATTTTTGATTAAAAACATAACAGTCCATTTTCTGGCTAAACGAAAGGCCACAGGGCAAAAAGGCTTAAAATCTGTGATCACTTAAATTTCCCACAAAAAATCAATTTTTGAGTAGAAACATAAAAGTCCATTTTCTGGCTAAACTATAGGCCCCAG